CAATTAGGTTTCGACAGTTACATTTCGGACTTTGGTGTCGGAGGTTGCACTAATTTTCTAGATGGTGTAAATTATGGATCGAATGGAGCTGGCATCCTTGATTTAACTGGCTATCTTACGGTGATTGCTGATTATATGCCTTTCATAACTAAAACCTTATACGATTCAGTACTATGAATCTTGTATGCTTTGGCAACGCTAACTATTAATATGATTCTTTTGTGTATGTCAAGGGAGAACTATTTACCATGAATATTCAGTTATATAATCACAATATCACGGTTTCACGAATTGCCAAAATCTTGGGAAGCGAGGAAGTTGCTAGGAAGTACTTAAGCCAATGCATCTATGTGTCTGATATGGGCCATAACGACTACCTCAACAATTATTTCTTGGACGGCTACAATAGCAGCCAGTTATATACTCCTGAAGAATATGCTCAACTTCTCATTGAAACTTATGAAACTCAGCTGGAGGTTAGCCCTACTTAATGTCTCTTGTAAAACAACAAATTAATGTTTGACGTGAATGGAAACTAACAAACAGCCCTACTTCAATCCGTTTTTTTTTCCACTGCTGCCAGAAACTGTATTGCTCAGGAGCAAGAAAGATAGTTGTGTTCGGACTTGTTCGGGTAGGATGTATGCCGTCCAACATCCAAAAAAATCCCAATGAACTAGATGCATCTTCATGCGCATACAAGCTCAATAACGATGTTCAAATTTTCAACGAGAAGCTTCAAGATCTGCTCAGAAAACTTAATAATAGGCATTCTGATGCTGTGTTTACCTACATAAACTCTTACGAAATTGATTCTGATGATCAGACAAATACAGGTACGAATCCCGTCCCTCCCTTGCTCTCTTTCTCTCACGGTTGAAGACGACCTTTTTGTTACGCCTCTGATGCCCATATTATTTTTTCTTGCTTGCAGGTTTTACACATACCCGTAAGAGCTGTTGCGAGGTAGAGTCTGGTTCTGTCCCATGTAAATCCCTCTCCTTCCCATGTAGCAACAGGAGTGACTATGTGTACTGGGATGGAGCCCATTTTACTGAAGCTAAAGCTTGGGCCTTTGGAAAAAGAGCATATAAACGTCAGTCACCAAAGGACGCCTATCCACATGATATCAGCGAACTAGTTAAGCTGAAGCTTGATGATTCTGATGCTTACGATATCAACCATGCCCAGCTCTGATGGAGAAGACTATTGTCTAATAAGCAGTCAGAGAATAAGATATTGTGACTGTAAGAACAACTGAAAGGCATATTTACTGTCCTTTCATAGCATTGCACAATATAATTCCAATAAAATTTGCATTTACGCATTCCGAAATTTGTTATGATTTTAATTATTGAATTCATAATGATGCCCGCTAGAAGGGAATTCGCCTAAGAAGACAACAACAATTACTTAATTCCTTAATCATGTGGATATCATACATAAAATCCGTTCATACTGTTCATAGAGAGATTTATTCTTAATGTATGGAAGTCTATTCGAAGATACAATTGCCATTGAAATCAAAAGAAGGATACATATTTACGTAAATAAACCAAAAGAACTTTACTTTTATATTTATATCTGTGAAGTTCCATATGTGAATATGATAAAGCTTATTTTTCTGTGTTTCATTTCAGCTTTTCCCCACTCTACATTACCAATTAAAGTCTTAATAAATTTATAAATTTATATTGATTATATTGAGAGCAAGACAAGAGGATTTCACTCCTACCATATTTTTTTGGATGCAACTTATCAATTCGTTTTCATGAATGGTCGATATTTTAATACGTGAATATTTAATAACAATTAATATACTTAGTGATTTTTTTATCTTAGTTAATATCAATAATTATTAATTAATGAAGCATTACAGCTGTATTATCATACTGATTTGAACTGTTGAAGTTATTTTATACTTAGTTATTTTGATCTTATTTTATAATAATAAGATATTATTTGAACTGATGAAGTTATATTTTATATTTTTTATATTTTATTTCATCTTATACTGAAAATGTTAAAAAGATTTGACCTTTTCAAAGTACAAAAATTAAGTATTGCTATATAAGAGATCTGCTGGTCAATAGATTGATATTTATATAAATTAATTAATACCGAGCTATCAATTGTGAATACTTATCTAATCAAGAAATATTGATAACATCTTGAAAGAATGAAAAACCCATTTGTTAGAGAGTAATAGTAGTTACGGTCAAGATGTAACAAGCTTCATCATTTGTTATGGCAACTAATGTATGCAAACCATTTTATCACATTAAAAAATGCACTAATGAGAGTTTATAATTATATCACATAACAACCATTTAAAAAAAATAGATGATATATTAATTTATTATTTTTTTATTTAATTTGTACGATAATTGCCTAATTGTTTTGATAATTGCCTAATTGTTTTCATTTTTGGAACGTTTTTGATACCATAAATCTTGATAAAATAATTGTCATTTGAAAACTCATAGTATTTATCATTATCACATATTAACATTTTAAAAATAAATTTTAAAAAATTTAAAATTTTTTATTTTTTCTTAACTCTAAATTAATATATTTTTAATGTTTTTAGATCATGTTTAATTACTGATATAAAAAAATATTATTATAATATATTTTTAAATGAAAAATATTTTAAAATACAACCACACTTAAAAAAAAAACCATCAAATAAAGCTTGAATTGAGGATTTATTCTTATATATAGTCCTCATTTAATCTTATTAAATTAATTATTTAAATAATACCCTTAAGAGAAATAAATCTATAAAAAATAACTTTTTTTTGTAGATTATCTATCTCAACTCATGATAGTTAATAGTGTTATTGTAATATCATAAACTCATATGTTTGGAACAATCTTGCAAGCAATATTCAAGATATTTACTATACAATAACTCATAGCTGACCAAATCCAAAATCTTTTAATTATAAGATGAAGAATTTGCCATTTGCTTTAAAATATATGTAAGTCCTATAAAAAACTCATTATTTCTTACAAGGTAACTATACGTCAATATTACAGGATATCTATTTATTAATTATTATTATATTTGATATACAAAGTTTATCAAATGAAAGGTAATATTGTTATTTCATTGTATTTACTAAGCCTGAGCCTTTAAACAAAAGTCAAGTGTTATAACAGATATTTTGTTAATGAATATATGTTTCATATTGAAAAATACGAGTATGAAAGAAAAATATATAATAGTGATATTTATATTAAGAATTCGACTTCTGTTAAGTTTGAAGTTGATTACTATAAAATATTTTAAGAGATCATTAAATTACAATATTATTATGAGTATAATAGAGTACACTTAATCAACCTAATCAAAAGGATGCTTTTGATCCACACATAGCAATAATAAAAACTAAAACTTTTAATAGAAATTAGATTTTAGCTAATAATAAATTTAAATTTTAGTTGGACTATTTTATTTGTAACTCATGCCAAATATCAATTGCAAATTAAATGCTAAATCTCTCCAAAAGAAATTGTGAAACCATCATCCAAAATATCAGATACAATATAAAAAAAAAATTATTAATTTGACAAACATTTTCCACCTAATTAAATAGTACACCTAATTTTCCACTCAAAGACTTTCAATTTGTTGTTATTAATCTAAAGGTCCTCTCTAACGTCAATGGAACCAAAGTAAATAGATAAAAAGTTAATGGAACATTATTATTAATTCACAAAAAACTAGTTATGTTGGGTTATTGTCTGAAATTTCATTAGCTTGGTTTCACTAATCAATAGAGACCTCAGCTCCTTCAAAAAAGCCACCCATCTTCTACATTATAAATCTTGGTAAAATTATTGCCATCTAAAAACATATAGTAATTATCGTCATCACACATGAAATCAATGCTAAAACTAATAAGCTATTTATCTTTAAATCTATATTATTTGAAAAAAATAAAAAGATATCACTTTTATAATTAGGTTTTAAACATATTATTGATATCTAAACTAATTAATTTTCAAAAAATTACTTTCTTGTTTTTATAAATTTCTTGTGACAATTATTTAAGATAAAAAAATATGAAAGAAGTCCAGCATTTGATTTTAAATTTTATGTATTTAGTATTATTGGCATAATTAAAAAAAAAATGATATGATTTTAGAGGTACATTTATAGAAAATCTAAACATTTACTAGACGAATTTAAATTAAGATATAAGTTTTTTTATAGAATTAGTAACCTATTTTCCTAACATAAAAAAGAAGGGTTAAAAAGATGCATTAAATACTGATACAGCGACAATTGAAAAATGTGTGGGGTACAATAATGATTAATTTTTTTTTAAAAAAATATTATTTAACCCTCTTTCAACAACATTCTCAAGACATGAGAACTCCCAAAAAAAAAAAGGGAGCTCGATCACCATGCTATATTTATGAAATTCTGCACGCAAAAATCGTCGATCCTTCATGAGGGCATCAAATCCCTTTCGCGATATAAATGATTGATAAGTTCGTTCCACGAGATTTTAGAATCCATTTGGTTACGCATACATGGCTGTGTTTATTATATAACAGTGGTGATACAGTGTTTGGTTATCAAATCAATTGTGATTTTTATGTGTGGACTTTACTATTAAACGCTATTTTATTCGTCGATCCTTCTCTCGTCACGTTCTTGCCTCTTTGCTGCTTCTTTTGCATTGCTTACACTAATTAATTAATTTGGACAGTGCAGCTTCTAGAATGTTCTAATCACACCGCTTCTGATTTAAAATTTAAAATATATTAAAATAGATTTAATCTAGATAGGAATTGTTTGATGACATTTAATAAAATAAAAAAAAAATATTTTATATAAAATATTATTTAAATTAAAAATCATTAATAGTAATATATATTTTTTAAAATTATCTTATAACCTCAATTTCAAAAAATATATTTAACGCAAACATATTAAATTATTTTTTATTTAATTTCAATTTCAACCACAATTTTAACCAAATATATATATAAATATCAAATCAATCTCAATCAAAATATTTTTATAAAATAATTTTTTTAAAATTATAATAATAACAATTACAATAACACCAAACATAATCAATGCGGTCTCCGACGCCTTATAAATCATCGATACACGCCACTTATAATTATGTGTCTCCAGCCAATGAATAAAATTTCTCTTAAGAAATAAAAAAAAAAATTAAAATTACATGGCCCTTTCTCCTTTGTATTGATCGCTTTATATTTAATATTTAATATTTTTTTTTAAATTATGATTTTGGTTGTCATCGTCGTGTAGCAGGATGTGGACCTCGTAGATCTACCATCTAATGCAAGGACAATACACAATTAATATATTTAATGATTTTTTTCTCTTTTTTTTTTAATTTTACTTAGTACTAGATCTGTTATTACCCGTGCTATATTGCTCATCAAGTTAATTTGTTTTAAACATAAAAAAAATTTAAATATTGATAACGTGTTTGTTTTATTTTATTTTTTTGTAGTGAAGAAAAAAATTAAACAATATAAATATTGATCCGATATAAGCCAATGATTACCCGTGCAATGTTGCTCAAGCGAAGGGATTGAGCTTTCGCTTTAAGGCCCTGAAGCGAAGAACTGAGTTTTAAGTGTGTGGCCTTTCAAGAGAGGTGGAAAACTGCAAGGCAAATGGGATAAGAAATCAAGCAGGGTCTTTTATTTTTTATTATTTGTTTTTTCCTTTCTGTGGACACGAGGCAAAACTCATACAAGATATTGTGAAAATTAAGGCTTGAGAAAAGGTGAACCGCACAATGCTGCATGTGTCCTCTTATAATTATTCAGGTAAAAGACATTTACAGCTGGATACAAGACAGGCCTGAAGATGTTAAAATAGCAGTCATTGCCAAGTTTGTCGACCTCAATTTTCGTTACCACGTGATAGACGACCGATAAGTTCGTTCCAAGATATTTTAATACGCGAAAATTCTAATATGTGGGGACCGGTGTCTTATCGCGCTCTATGTGATTGATAAACGCCACTTATAATTATGCGCACACATCCAATGAATAAATTTACACTTAAAAAATAATAATAAAAATATTACATTCCATAGCCTTTTTTTTCCTTTGAACGGGGACGCCTTTTACACCCACACACTAGATGATATGCCTGTTTGTCACCTTTGGCTTGTAAAATAAATATATTTAATAGTATTATAATTATAAATAGATGTTAGATAAATAATAGAAATTAAAGATATGATAAAAAAAATATTTTATAATAGATAAAAAAATTATATTTGTAATAAAAAACGATAAATAATAAAAATTAAAGATATGATAAAAAATTGTATTTGTAATAAAAAATTTGGAGATTGAACAAAATAATTTGTAGCAATTTATAATATTTTGTGAGGACAGATACAATACTTTAGCTACATAATTTAACTTTTTTGTTAATAAAAAACAAAAAAAAATTACAAAACTAAATTCTCTACTAACTTAATATTAAAAAAAACTAACAAAGATAATTTTAGAAGGAAAAAAACCCATGAGAAAAAATATTGTAGCAATTGACCATGTTTTGTGAAGAAAACTACAGTGTTTTCCGCAATAAAATAAAATAAAAACAATTTAGAAAAATATTGTAACAATACATAGTGTTTGTGAGAGAAACTATAACATTTTTCTCATATGATTTAGCTTTATTGTAATTATAATTCTTAACCAACTCAACATTAAAAAAAAATCGATAAAAATAATTTTGAAAAAAAATTATATGGAAAAACACCACAACAATTCATAGTGTTTTAAAGAAGAAAAAAAATTACAAAGCTAAATTTTTAATTAGCTCAATATAAAAAAAAATCAAAAAAAATAATTTTAGAAAAGAAATAACAAAAAAACACCAAAAAAAAGAAAAAATTCATGTTGAAAACACTATAGCAATTCATAGTGTTTTGTGTTTTGTGATGAAAGTTATAATGCTTCCCCGTATGATTTAACTTTATTTGTAATGACTTGTAATTGTAATTCTCAAACAACTCAATATTTAAAAAAATTTGACAAAGATAATTTTTTAAAAATAAAAAAGAAAAATTATGTGGAAAAACACCATAGCAATGCATAGTATTTCAAAGATAAAAATTACGAAGCAAAATTTTTTAACTAGCTCAAATTTAAAAAGTAAAATTAACAAAAATAATTTTAAAAAAAGTAAATGCAAAAAAAAAATAGATGAAAGTTGAAAAAAATGAAAAAATACAAAAAAGAAAAAGAAAAAAAAGAGAAATATACTATGAATTACT